AAACAAAGAGGGAAACAACGCTTCCACTTCGAAAAGAACTTGGAAGTCTCGTTGAAAAAAGTCACTAGCTTCGTAATGTTTGCCAGCTATTTCTTGGTCGGCTTTATAGATTCCTGCGTCATGCTTGGTTTATTTATCTCGATTTCCCAACCCCCCTTCGCTTCTGTCGTTCACGCTCTCGTTTTCAACAAGCTAGTTCAAAGAGCGAAGAGAAAGGGTGGTGAATTGCAAATAGTACAATCATGCTATGCCTAAGGGAGGTACACGCCCCTGCTCTTCCTTTTCCTCCGTTCCAAGCTTATACGAAACCTTATACCGCAGTTTAACCAAGTTCCCGTTCCCGAATGGGATTCCATTCAAGTGCATTTCAAGACGAACTCCATTCTGCTGCAGCGGGGCTATGTTACGTCCAGACTGTGGCGTCAGTTGTAAATTATATGCCTGTTTAGTAGTTAACGGCATTAGTACATGGGACTATGTGGGTCGTTGATAGAGGGGAGGGGTAAAAAGGATAATACGGCCGGAGGGGAAGGGAGGAGGGTGCTGAGAGAGGAAGCGCGGGAGGGAGGGAGGGAAGCGGGAAGACGGATTACCTTCTCAATTGCAACTTGGAAGTGGAGGTCCGAAATTGGTTGGCTGGTATTGTTTGAAAAGGAGACTACTACATGAATCTTCTGATCCCCTGCATTCCTACAGGCGGCGAAATCAATGCCTATCGATGACTTCAGGACTTGTACCTTGCTGGTGCTAGGCAGATTGTTCTCCGGAAGGGCCGAGGCGAAGGTCCATTCATCATCCCCTGCAGTAGCTGTGGGTGCTGTCGGCGGCGTTGCTCTCTGAGACATTCCCTGCCCTAGGTCAAGAAGGGACGATGGTGAGGAGCTAGAGACCAGGGAGCTTTGCAGGTGGTTGAACGGTGACGATGTCTGGGAACGTGCCGAGCCTAGAGATGCGAATGTATCCGCTGGTGGGGTCGTTGCTGTTAGTTGTGGTTGCTGGATTGAGGCTGGCATAGATGTCGGGGGCTGGGTTTCCGACACTGAGACAGCAGATGTGGAAAGGGCTGGGCTATTAAACAGGTTTCCGGATAGTGATGATGTAGACGAGAGCCCCGGTAACGTCGATAGACCTTGCAGGTGTTAACTTGATTCGCACAATTTTCAGGGCTAACTTACCTGAGCTGAGGCCATGTCCGAGAGATATGCCGCCACCTTGTGGTTGTGAATTTTCTTGAAATGAAAGACCAAGGAGGTCGCCCTCCGATGACAGTGGAGCTTGCGATTGCGACGTACTGACAGTCGTGCTGCCATTGGAGCTAGGTTCAGTATCGTCGCCAAAATCGATCAAGGATAACTCATTATCGGAATTCTTCTTCACGCCGGTCTTTGTCCCCAGCGTTCCTTTCGGAATTTTGGCAGCCCCATCTAGGTCGCCCGACTTCACTAACTTATAGCGCTGGATCGTCCGATGTATGCTATCATTGATTTCTAAGAGTTTGGCAACAGCTTCTGAATCATCCGACTCCTCCTCGCACATTTTCTGGATTTTCGGATGTGCGCTTTGCAGAGCGTTGGCGAGTTCCTGGAAGTTTTCATTAAACGCAATCCTATTTTTTATTTTATTTTTTGATTTAAGGCATTACCGACCTCAAAGACATCCCCTTCTGTTAATTTATCACCTGCTTTGTAACTTTGAAGCATTTCCTCCAAAAGCTTCGCCTTTTGTTGGACCTTGGCGACCTCTTCAGCAGCCTTCGCTCGGTAGTCCGTTTTATGTCTCAAGTCATACCCCGCCATCACTTTCATCAACCTGTTCGCTTCCTGTAGGTCTTCAGGGCCTCCTCTTCGAATGAGCTCTTGAAGTTTAGCTGATTGGGCAGCTCGTTCCTCTTCTTCCATTTCCTCAGCAGATTGGAGATTCTAACCTCATGGTCAATATTACCCTAACACAGTAGGAAGATAAATGACGACATACATCGCTAGGATTTAAGACTGCAGCATCCTCCCGCCGAATTTCCGGGAACATGTAACCTTTGTAAAGTAGCAGGCGATGCATATCCCTGATAAACCCCAAATCCTCCTTGTATCGTGATGTTTGACATATTGTCTGTCGCCATTCCTCGATCGACTCTAGAATTCGATGCTGTACCCTGGATGGTCGGATCGGAGGGCGTTCGGGGAATCTCCGTACCAGTTCATTAAGGAATTCTTTCGTGCTGATTTGGAGATGAAATGGATATCCGCAATTCTTCACACATATATCAAGAAGCTAACACCATTATCACCATCAGTATCCCACTCCTTCCGACTTGGAAGGCACCACGACATACCGCTAAGGCGAGCAACGCGACATTGGGATTCCGCGAATTAATGAGCTGTACTATGCTGACAGCGGCTTCCCGAGGCCTTCTCAATCGCCAGAGTCAATGAAATAGTAGATAAAAGGGACAGTTTCGAGCCAAGGAACTCACGCATTGCCCTTTTTGGAGTTTATCAGATCCGCTACTTCGAGGTTCAGAGCGAGGTTGGGTTCGAAATTCTGTGGGTCGCAAGCATTGTCTATAGCGAAACAATGTTAAATTAAAGGACGTGGAAGATACTGTGAGAGGTAGGAAGCAAAAGGAACCTACGGATGTATCGTTGTAGCGTTGATTGCGCGGGTTCAGCGTAGGCACCAAATCGGTCCCTCGCTGCCATGCGTGCTGAAGTCGCCTCCAGGTTGACAGATAGATAAGAGAATCAAAACCTAAAATGGGAAATCTGAAAGCGTAGAATGAAAGCTGCTTTTCTCCCGCCACGTAATAAAGGATGCGTCGGCCGTTCTGTCGTGATATCAATGATGACGAGGATGATGCTGGTATTGGACATTGGAAGAGATTATGTAGTTGACCATTTCCTCTTTCATCCACGTGGGGTTGAGGCTCAAGTCTCCTCTTCAGCCCAATACAACAACTCCACCTCGCCAGCACCAACATGAACAACAACATCTTAGCAAAGGCCTTGTCCAGTGAACTCGGGAGACATTGGTAAGAACTTGCCTGCCAGGCCTGCTTCCGGGCAACTAATCGCGGAAACTGGCCCGTTCAATCTGCCGGCCCTTTGATCCATTTATTTACACAGAGCTGGGGACTTAGCTAAATAACTTTCCTTTCTACCTTGCGATTCCATTCTGACTTCTTCGTCAGTACATATTATTGAGCGGAATGATATGTTTCTCCGTGATTACGGGAATGGGCCTGCTTCTTTCTACAACAAAATATCTCGTACTGCAGCTGCCAAATTTTTAAATTCCACCCCTACTTTTGAGTGTCTACATCGATTGCCACAGCTTTTTGAATGGCTCTTAATGATAGCCACAACTTCTCATCAGGATCCTTCACTCATCAGGGTCCCCACTGCTACGGTAGCTATCTCTGGGATGTCATCTCTGTCTTTATTCTCTCAAAACCCTACGGCAATGGACGCTAACAATGCCCGTGCTTGTTTCCCATCTAGCTAAACAATCCCCAAACTTAAACGCCAGAAGCGAACAACCTCATGGACACAGTTCGAGTTCTCCATTCGTTTCCACACATGTCATCAGTACCGCACCTGGACTGGCGGGAACATAACAATGGTGAAAATTACATCCAATTTTGAATTTAGCCCTTGCCACCTAGATAGCTCTTGCTCATTTCAATAAGCGACGGCATCCCTTACCCCGAATTATCTTCTATTCTAGGGAAGGTTCCAGGAGCAGTGAAGTTTATCATACGAGCGAAGAACTTGAGCACGTCTACCACGTTCAAAAACTTGTCACGGGATAAACGGCGGAGACGCTACAGCCAGTGTCAGCACTGTCAGAAATCTCATACCACGCGTCTCAATCTTTATATTCATCTTCCTCATTTCCAGTACCGGGCTCCGCTTTGGTAACGACGCGGAAAAGCTCCGCAGTTTCCAGGAGGAAAGAAAGCTGGACCTCGCTGGTATGTTCCCAATCAACTAGCAGCTTGTGTTCATAACAGACATGGTGCGGCTAAGCCTCAAGTTTATTCGACAGAGACGATGAAATTGAAATTGAACTGAAATTAAAGATCCGTCATATGCCCTCGGCAAAGTGCTCATGTATATACGATAGGACACTTTACGACGTCAAAGCCGTTGGCAATGCGGGATAATTACTTAGCACCTTAGTTCAATACTTCAAGCTGATGATAAAAATACACAGCTACCTCCTCGGTGCGGCGCTATGGCATCTACACTCTCGAGGGTTAGAGCGTCGGTTGAGGTTAATGTATTCAGGTTTATTGCCCCAGTGTCCAGTCTCGCCATTCACCCGACTAGGGTCCCAAGGGGTGGGCGGCTTTGAGCTTCAGCGTTCCTTTCTTTTCCAAACCCGGACAATGGTTAATAACTGTAATGCTTGTTCTGAGTGAGAGTTTTAAACGCCCTATAGGGGTGGACCTACACGCCTAGACAACGTTGAGATCTAGCACAACGCTTCATAGTATATTGAGTCTGGAACACGGGAAAAAATTGAATATGAATCGCATGGGGTATTATTGCCTGATCGCTTGAAGAATGGATTGCAGGAATGTTACCTCCCGTCTAACAGCGCTGGTGACCGCTACATTAACGCAAGGACGTTAGGGAACTGACAGCCTAGTTATTTCACAGCCCTTTAATAGACATTACCTTCCTGGGGAAGGATAGTTCTCAATTCTTCAAAATATTATTCGAATGTCTTTTTTGTTCACCGTTGTCGCAAATGATAGACCCTCATTACTTAAGTCAACTACAACTTTTTTTCTTATTTCAAATCGGAATTAGGTTATTCCCCGCTACTGCGCCAAGACCGGCGCCAACCTCGCAAGCACGTTCGTCATGACAAAATCCGTATTATTACCTCATAACAATTGAACTTCTATCTCTCTCTTTTTCTTTTTTTTTTTCGGCTTTAGTAAAAGACCTCCTACATTACATCACCCCGTTTTCTTTTTTTAAAAAAGAGAAGGAAACATGGTTCGACACAAGAAAGATAACTTCGGCAAACGAGGAAGAGGAGGCAACTATTCATCGCAACCCCGCCAACGATTTCGGGACTCCTCTGTCGACGGCGACCCCGACGCGCCCAAGAAATTCCCCTTTAAAGCTGCCTGTTGGGACCTGGGTCATTGTGACCCTAAGCGATGCTCCGGCAAAAAGCTGATGCAACATGGTGTTATGCGCGAGCTACAGATCGGACAGAAATTCGCCGGGGTTGTGATTTCGTGAGTGTAGACCTACAACGCACACAGTTTTCGGATTCCCCCCCCCCCCAATATTGCAAACTTCCATTTCGTTTGTTTTTTCTGCATGCTAATATCTCCTTTTCCGCTCTGATTTTTTCTAGACCTAATGCGAAGCGCACGATCTCCCCGGCTGATCGCGAGTTGCTGGAACAATATGGGGCTGCGGTTGTGGAATGTTCGTGGGTGAGGACTCAGGAAGTCCCCTGGTCGAAAATTGGGGGGAAGTGTGAGAGATTATGTGAGTACTTCCTTATTTTTTTCTCCCCGTCCTACGAATGAGATGCCTTTTTCCCACATGGCGGGCCATTGGAACTTCATCAAATAAGCCACGATTAACTTACACAGTTCCCGTAGTACCTTACCTCGTTGCTGCAAACTCAGTCAATTACGGACGTCCCTGGCGGCTAAACTGCGCAGAGGCACTAGCGGCTGCCTTCTACATATGCGGGCATGAGGATTGGGCTGGCGAAGTTCTAAAAAAGTTTTCGTACGGCAGGGCATTTTTGGAGATCAATTCTCAACTTTTGAAACGATATGCAGCTTGTAAAACGGAAGAGGATGTGAAGAATACGCAGGAATACTGGTTGGAAAAAATCGAGAGGGAGTATTCTGAGAGTCGGATGGACAAGGGGACCGATGATATGTGGACCGTTGGGAATACGAACAGACGAAATATCCCAGATTCAGAAGGTGAGGAGGAAGAGGAGGAAAGTGAAGATGGAGAAGAATCTGGAGGACAGGATGACGAGGAAGATTATTCAGACAGAGACCTGTATGCGCTGCCTGAGGAATCGGATGATGAAGAGGAGATGGCAGAGTTACGCCGGAGAGTACTGAATTCAAAGCCATTTACGAATGTCACAACAGATGAAACGGAATCCAAGCCGCAGCTCGAGAAAACTAAGAGGCCAGAAGCACCTAGGAACGGCGCCGCCGGAACAGTTTTGGGTTCTAGACAAGCCAACATCCTTGATGATGACGGCAATGGCGATGATAGTCAAGATGACAGTGAAGACGCAACCTTTGACAAAATCATTAATGCCACCGTCACTACGGACCGGACGGGAATCCTTGCGAAACAGCGGGGATAGAACAACCCACAGTTGTAATAAGATGGCACTTTTCTCCATTACCTTGATGCATAGGTGACTATCTGCACACCCCTTGCTTTTGGTCCCCCGTCACGAACGTCACCGTACAGGATAGGCTTATTTTTTTGAATAACTAAACGAATTCAACGCCAATAGTCACATAATCTTTTGGCGTTCTTTGGTGGTCGTTTGGGCTTGCTAGGTGTCTGCGTGTCTACGTACTGTACCACTCTAAATAGCTGTAGTTGTTATTTTGGCGGGACATAGCTGTATCCCGACACAGTCTGGTTTGTACTCGGCACTGCGTCTGCATGGATGCGTCCCCTGTCTGGGGTAAAGCAGCATCTGCCACCTGCCAACTCTTAGCCTTAGCTTTTTAGTGTCAAAATGATCCATCCCGAGGCGCGGAGGGTTATCGGAGCCACAATAATCCGCCGCCGGAAGGTACCTGAGTCAGCGCCAAGATTAGACTCGGCAACGGCAACGCCTTCTTGCAACATTCTCTCTCTCGTTGCTCCCAGCACACCAGCACACCTAGGCATCTTGTTACCTCCGTTCTCCAAACTACGAAGCCGTTCCAGACTGTGCGTTGTTTCGTCCAGCTCTGGGCCCCTTGTCCACCTCCTTACCCCCTTGTCTGTCCGGCTCTTGTTCCAGATAGGACCGACGCCTCCCATCTGTTGGCACCGGACGGATCGCCTTTCGGTAAAGTCCCTCCATATATTTCTGCTCTAGTAGCCGCCTCACACTAACCACCCCCCCCCCATCTCCAGTGTGAGGGCTGGCCACCATACCCTATATTATCTACTCTGCCAAACTTCCAGGCCTAAAAGGTTAAATGGCTATGTAATTTTTGGTTCATTCTTTGCTATTATGAGCTATGTTCACTGATGGAATCCAATATGGACATAGTCTCGTGACCTGCAAGGGCGGGTTAGAGGCACCATGCCCGCTGTTCATGGGGACCCAGCTGGGCCCCTGATATTCCGCACTTCGGGAGAGCTACCCTATCCTGACCCGGCTAATCCTCAGCTGCCATCCAATATATATCCCCGCCAGGTGACCCTTCGCGACCGTGTCACCGTTGCGACCCTTGTACCCTTCTGTTCCTCCACAGATGTGCCCGTATCGCTCCTGCGCTACCTATGCGACCAGCTCAATAAGGAGATCGATATGGGAGACACTTATCCCATGATTGATCCCATCTCCCTTGAATCCTTTGGTCCCTATTGGTTTTCGAACTTCGGTGCTGTGATGCTGCTGGGTGACATCAATAGTATCCATGAAGTCCAGGAAATGGGGAGGATGGGGGCGGATTGGAGGAAGGTCTGCCTGGGGAGCTTTAATATTAAGCCTAACTATCCAGGGCGTAGCAGTCATGTTTGCAATGGGAGCTTCCTCGTCACTGATGCATCGCGTAATCGCGGAGTAGGGAGGCTAATGGGGGAATGTTATCTAGAATGGGCGCCTCATCTGGTCAGTTAAATCACCTAATGCCTCTTATATATAAAATTCTCAACTGGCGCTAACTTTACACAAAATGAAGGGTTATACTTACTCTGTATTTAATCTTGTTTATGAGACCAATGTGGCATCCTGTCGAATTTGGGACGCTTTGGGCTTTAAACGCATTGGCAAAGTACCTGGATGCGGAAACCTTCGATCACATCCAAATCAACCCGTTGACGCGATTATATATGGACGAGATTTAGGCCCAGAAGGCGAGGATTTCGTGTCGGAAGAGCGATTCGATAAGATTCGATATTACCTAAAGCATTCAAAATATCCAAGTGGTGCCGACCGGGCGGAGAAGAGTCGCTTGAGGAGCGCTGCAACCCACTATAAACTCGTCAGTGGGCAGGACGGAGAACCCGAGAAATTGATGCTAAAAGACAAAGAGGTGGTATCGGATCCTCAGCAACAATATGAGATAGCGCGCCAAATCCATCTCCAGCAACATGGGGGAATCAACAAAACCACGGCCACCATTGCGTTGAAGTATCACTGGGTCCGTATCAAGGAAACAGTTAGTATGGTGATCAAGAACTGCCCACAATGCAAAGAAACCCCAAAAGTGTCCACTGTCAACTCCAACCCAAGTTCCAACTCCAATTCCAATTCCAACTCCAACTCCAACTCCAACTCCAATTCCAATTCCAATTCCAATCCCAATCCCAATCCCAATCCCAATCCCAATCCCAATTCCAATTCCAATTCTAGCTTAAACTCGATCTCCGACTCGATCCCCGACTCGATCCCCGACTCAATCCCCAACTCGATCCCCGACTCGATCCCCGACACGATCCCGAGCTCCATTCCCAACCCCATTCCCAACTCCACTTCTAACTCTATCCCCGACTCGATCTCCCAATCTACCTCCAACTCCAACTCAGAAATATCCCTACCTAGAAGAGCAAAATCGGCAAGTTCACGCGAGCAAACAACATACAACATACCCACAAATGGCTTCGATACCCCCCCCGACCAGCTCCTGGCAACCCAAGAAGAATACGAGAAAGTCAATCCTTTCGGCACCGCACACCCGCAAATGATGCATGCACCGGTCGACGACCCCATGACGGCAGCCTACGGCGATATTCCCCTCGACCCACAAATAATGGACGACATCCAACAGCATCTCCCACCATTCCCAGAGCACGATCACCACCACAACCCTCACCATCATCACGTCAACCCGTATGGTGCTAGCAGCCTGCACAACCCGCACAGCTTAGAGCACGAATTCGACCATTCCGCTGCCGCGGTCGTTATTCAGCACCAAGGCCATCCCAACGACTACCAAGTCCCTGGAAATATAAATTCCCAGGCCGCTGAGGCGTTGCGTCAGCAGACGATGCGGTTAGTGAATACCGGGCGGATGAGCGAATCAGACCTGCATCAAGGAATTGCCCAACGCGGCTTTTGGGAATCCGGATAAGGGCCCGTTTAGCACTTGATTTTGGGATTTCTCGGTTATGGTTATTATTATTATTATTATTATTATTATTATTATTATTATTATTATTATTATTGTTATTATTGTTATTATATATCTATATTTTTTTATTTTTTTTTGGGGGGGGGGGGGGTGGGGGCAGTTGTTATTCCTGTTACTCTTGGTTATAGTGGCAACCATGTGGTTGTCTGCATCTGTTCCGATTTGCTTCGAGCGTTATTTTGGCTACCTTGCCACAGGCGGTTTGGTTTTGTTACCATCCCTAGGTGTTGAAGTGATTTTTGGGTGTGGCTTGTGATCATTATTATTTCATCTCTGTTGTCAGTAATTTATTAGGTGTCCATATTTTTACTAGTGTTGATCCAATATGTAGATAGACCCGTAGTGGGCGGAACACATGGATTTATGACAGAATTGGATGGTGTGTAAAATAAATCACTTGTCTCTTTTACCTTCATTGAATTTACTTGAACATGTCAGATATCGTTGTTAGGTGGAGGTGTTGCCCCTCAGCGCGTGATTGGCTGGATTGGGGCCAGGAAAGCTCTTCCACGCAAATTTTGGAACAACCTTATGAGAACATGGTTGGACTGAGAGAACGACGGTCAAAGACACTCAACCTCACCACCTCCGTCTATCCTCGCTACGATACCCCATCAGTCCTTTGCTGCGGAAGAGGGAAATATACGACGGGAATACCTTCTGTCTTGTTAATTAACTCTGTTCACCCGGTTGTTTCTCCGTGCGTTAGACCCCTCCCACAATCATGGCCTTCGCCGGCCAGACTCCTACGATCATTGTCCTGAAAGAAGGTTAGTTCGTCTCCGCTACGTTACACTACTCTATCTATCTATCTATATTTATTACATGCTATTCGCTTCCCGTAATAATTTCGGGATATACGCTGATGTTCAATGTGTGGTTTGTGTTGTTTTGGTGTAAACTACAGGCACGGATACATCCCAAGGAAAGGGTCAAATAATATCCAACATCAACGCGTGTCTGGCAATCCAGTCGACGGTTAAGGGAACCCTCGGTCCTTATGGTGGAGATCTATTAATGGTCGATGCCAACGGGCAGCAGACCATTACCAATGATGGAGCGACGGTTATGAAGGTTAGTTTAGACGTTGCGTTTGTTGCTTTTTGATTTTATTTCATTAACTACTACGCGGAATCCGTCTTTTCTATTATCATATGGGCCCATGGCAAGACCCCTGCGTACATGCCCAATTACGGAGAGGCAAGGAAACTAACAAAAAAATAAAAATCAAATCAAATCACAGCTCCTCGACATCGTCCATCCAGCCGCCCGCATCCTCACAGACATTGCCAGATCCCAGGACGCGGAAGTTGGCGATGGCACGACCTCCGTTGTTGTGTTAGCCGGAGAGATACTGAAGGAGGTCCGCGACGCTGTTGAGCAAGGAGTCAGCTCACAGATCATCATCAAAGGCCTACGGAGGGCGAGTGCACTGGCTGTTAACCACATCAAGGAGATTGCTGTCGATCTGCGTAGCACGCATGGAAACCTTGAAACGAAGGTAGAAACGCTGCGACGGTTGGCGGGGACGGCGATGAATAGCAAGTTAATTAAGAGGAATTCGGAATTTTTTACGAAGAGTTAGTTTCTCTTTTCAACTTGGGCTGGCCTGCTTACCGGGCTTTTTGGGTGTGGGATCAAGTTTTTGGTTTATAGGACATGTGCTGACGATTTGTTTCACAGTGGTGGTCGATGCGGTCTTATCTCTGGACCAGGACGATTTGAACGAGAAACTTATTGGTGTCAAGAAGGTTACCGGCGGGGCCCTTCAGGAATCCCTATTCATCAACGGCGTTGCCTTCAAGAAAACATTCTCATATGCTGGCTTCGAACAACAACCGAAATTCTTTACGAACCCTAAGATCGTGTGCTTGAATGTTGAGCTAGAGCTGAAGAGCGAGAAGGACAATGCAGAGGTGCGCGTGGAGCAGGTATCGGAGTATCAAGCCATCGTCGATGCGGAATGGCAAATCATCTTCAATAAAATGGAGGCCGTCTACAAGACCGGTGCGAAGGTCGTGTTGAGCAAGCTGCCCATCGGTGACCTAGCAACACAGTATGATTATATCTCATTTTTAAGAAAATACCTCAAGGATTATATACTGACAGACCCCAGATACTTTGCCGACCGCGACATCTTTTGCGCCGGCCGCGTCGCCGCTGACGACATGGAGCGCGTCTGCCAGGCCACCGGCGCCTCCACCCAATCCACATGCACAGACATCCAAGACCGCCACCTAGGAACCTGCGGCTCTTTCGAAGAGCGCCAAATCGGCAGCGAGCGCTTCAACATCTTCTCCGACTGCCCCGCCGCCAAAACCTGCACCCTGGTTCTCCGCGGCGGCGCCGAACAGTTCATCGCAGAAGCCGAACGCAGTCTCCACGACGCCATCATGATCGTCAAGCGCGCGCTTAGAAACACGAGCATTGTCGCCGGCGGTGGTGCGACAGAGATGGATCTCTCCGGCTACCTGCACAGCTTCGCGGATCGGAACGTGCCCCATAAGCAGCAGGCGGTCGTCAAGGCCTTTGCGAAGGCGCTGGAGGTCATCCCCCGCCAGCTGTGTGATAATGCGGGCTTTGATGCGACGGATATTCTTAACCGGCTGCGTGTGGAGCATCGGAAGGGGAATGTGTGGGCTGGTGTTGACTTTGATAACGAAGGGGTTAGGGATAATATGGAAGCGTTTGTGTGGGAGCCTAGTCTTGTCAAGGTTAATGCTATCCAAGCGGCTGTTGAGGCGGCATGTTTGATATTGAGTGTGGATGAGACTATCAGTACGTTTTCTATTCCCCCCTTCCCCTTCTACTCCCCCTTCTACCTCCCCCTTCTCCCTTCCTTGATGTTCAATTCTCCTTCCCCGGTTTCGCGGAGTTATTATATTTCGACATACAGTTCTACACTCCGCCCATTTTCCCGTTTCCTACTTGTAAAAATTCTTCGACGAAAGCTGACCCATAACCTTCTCAAACAGAAAACGAAGAGTCCAAGGCGCCACAAGCGCCCCAACGGGGTCTACCACAAGATGCTACGCAGAGAGTTCTGCGCGGGAGAGGAAGGGGAATGCCCAGAAGATAGATAAAATGGAGTGGCTGTTATTGTTTGAGTCAATGTACTCCGTACTCCGTATGCCGCTTCTAATTAGCGTACTCTAAATTTAAGTCGACCGGCAGTACCATTGTTACTCAAGCATAGAAGGAAAAAAAATATTGCATTTTTGTCTTCTATCCAGGCTATTTTTGTTCATTCAATTGTAATGTTTTCTTACCTCTTTAAATATGTAAATTGTAGGAAAGTGAACTAACTCCTGTTGCTGGTTCCTATGACGATCATGAAGAGGGAGTGGGTGTATGCAGGCGTCGTGGATACCAAAGCCAGGAACGTGATGAATTTGATTTTTTTTACAATAATACATTCAGTGTCCATCACGGCCTGCAGTCGGTTTCTTATTTCTGGATATATAACTTACCCCCGAGCATCACCAAAAAAGAATGTTGAGAGCGGCCTCCGCCTCTTGAAATACCAACAAATTCACTAGCCAACCAGGCTGCTAAAACAGCTTGCGACGCCCGAGATCTTCAGACGGCAAAAAATAAAAAAGCAAACAAAAGAAATTAGGATTTGAACCGTTTTGATTCTTAAACGAGACGCAAAAACAAAACATAGAATAATAAATACATAGTTATGTTTCCACCGCCACACCCTCACTCAACTCAACCTCCTTTAAACTATAGGACCAGAGGCAAAACGCCAAGCGCGGGATCGCGTACCTCCGATCCATCGTCCTTTCGTTTTTTTCTGTCCTTCAAGCCGTAGCTGTGGCTGCTCGCATTTGTCCAGAAAAGCTAGATTTTTTCTTTTTTTCTTTTTTTCTTTTCTTTTCTTTTTTTTTTTTTTTTTTTTTTTGTTTGGCTTGACGTGGAAACATATGAAAGAATATGGGTTTTCTGGTTTGGCAGGCTCGTGAGTTTTATTTTTCCAACATGATAATTATCAATTTTTCTTTTGGTAGACTGAGACAGGCATTATTGCACCGAGTGTCTAAGAGCTGTTTTTTTGGAGGATATCCGATGGGGATGAAAAGGTCTTCTACAAGCTGCTCCGTAAGTTGTACATGTATGTACAATGACAGGCGAACAGGCGAACAGGCGAACATGCGAACATGGGAGGAATAAGATGTAGCCGGGCGCTATTAGCTAGGTAATAGCTCACTGATATTTGACGAACATTGACACGGGCCGCAAGGGTTCAAGCGTTTTCCACTCTACCCGATTTCTCAATAGTTAGCGACCCGGGTTGAGGTACGGTGAAAAGGAGGATGGTATGATCCAAGGCTTCATACAAACTGTGGGCGTTCAACGGGTTTTCCTCAGGGCAAATTGTGCAGCCGACCACGGGGATTCTGTGCCCAAATGAACAATTGAAGCAGGGCTCTATTGTAATTTTTTTCAAAAAACTAAGTGCTTCGAAGCGACTTGGAAGTTCGTCAATGAACCCCCACCCCTGTCTTCAGGGGTTGAGCATGCGACGAGCGGGAAAGGCGATCTTATTAAATATTATTGTTTGCTCTGCTCTGGTCCTTACATGGCAGAAAATATCACCGGCAGGGAGATATTGTGAACATATTCCTTAAGCCAATAATAACCTAGTTGTGTTCCTTCAATTGGGTCCATTGAGAGCTTGTTTTCTATGTTTCTATAAGTAAGGAAATAGTACCAGATGGACAGTACTCTGTAGATGAGGCGAATATTCATGAGAATAGGACCCCCGAAATGGATGAAAATTTTGCAGAGGAGCTTCGATCAACTTGCCTGACACCGCCAACGAGCTGGTGAGTATTATTAGTGGCGGAGGTGCCGGGGGCTAGCGTCTTTAGTCTGTTCGTAGCTAGTTGGCCGTAGGCATGGATATGTCAAAAAGTCGTGGACGTCGCCACCTTCCTCGTCATCCCATAAATGGCAATTCAGCATTTGAACTATTGGGACAGCCACCGGGCAAAAAGGAAAAGTACTGATTGGATTTGATTGACTCAATATCGGAAGCCAACCAATTTCGGATTCTGGATGCATGCCCCCGGTTGAACCAACGTGGCATCGTAGTACACAAATGTTATTTGCAGACAATTGTGTCGGCATTCGACTCTGTTGAGGACTCTTGAGGAGGTTTTGTCGACTCGGAAAACAGAGTTGTATGCGAAAGGAAAAATCTACGCCGGATTATCAGAATTTTCCTCGACAGAAACCCCTTTCCACATCCCTGTTCGTAAAACTTCGTAAACAGACGATCATGAACGAGTTCCCCGGCCAAACCATGTCGGTTTAGGTATTTTGAAACAACCGAGAAGAGTCCGCTTGATTGGATCTCGAGAACTCGGGCACGAGGAGACTAAGAGCCTCAAGTTACGGCTGGAAACCGGGATCCTTGTCAAATGGGCCGGACAGTGCTTGTTGGGTCTTGATGGGCAATCGGATGCCGTGCGAATGGGACACTCGGACTGCGCTGTGTAGAGAAATAATTCAACGGTTCATCCTTTCAGGCGGAGCATATGGGATGGAGTAGAAAAACTTGCCGATGTTACCGCTATGGAAATAGCTAGTTAGAGATACATGAAAAAAAAAGCTTCTCTGTTTTTGCTTTTTGCTTGCTTTCGCATATTCCATGTCACATTGTCGCGATCTCCAGGCGTGTTGAGGCTGTTCTGCTCTCTGATTGTCCGGGTCGATTGGCGGTGCAGTATCCAAGCGTATTATTCAGCTGGTATTTAACTAAAATATATCAACCTTCGCCAACGCCTCAAGATTCCACATTTTCCTTCCCCCGACTCCCTTCCCATCAACCATCTTGCCGTCAGACACTCGCAGTCGGAGTGCCCAGATAACCTACTCGTTTCGCTGCCTCGTTGGTATACCTGTGTGTCTCTTGGATAGGAGAAGCCGAATAGCCCTGGTAGAAGAATAGCCGGGAAGAGCGTATCCTTGTTTCTCCAGTTTACCCCTCCTTCGCGCCGGTAGACGTTCTCTAGGAAGATAGCCAGCGCCCTTGTGGAATTGGCTGCCAGCTATCGTTGTTGCGTGCCCAAAACCTGGAGGAGATCTGCTTCCGCCGATTCTATCCAAGCCTTCCGCCATCCGTGAGAACCGGCGCCCACTGAACGTTCCGCTGTGGGGAGTGCAGGATTTATACCCGATCAGCTGATCCTTTCGCTGCCTGGCCCTTTGCGCCTTTGTCTATCCTTCGTTCGAGCGCGATCTGGTGTTTTCCTCGATTGCAACTCTCTTCTATTTGTTTTCTATCCGCCACGCGAAATATTTACCTCACATTACTCTGCATTATTCCTTCGCTTGACTCTCTAATCGTGAGCAATGTCGTACTATCCTTCCCAGGGCTACGCGGGAGGTCAGGGCGGGTACCCGCCGCCTCAACAACAATATCCTCCTCAGCCATATGGAGCACCACCACCTCAGCAATACCCGTGAGTAGTCTACTGCGCATCATGTGCTATTTTTAAAGGGAGATGGCTTTTGTTCTAACAACCTGCTAGCCCACAGAGTTACGGAGGATATCCACCGCAAGGCCCTCCACCCCCTCAGCAGAACCAATACGGATATACCCCTCACACTCCATCTCCTCAGCCACCGTACAATGGCGGATATCATGTGAGTTTCCCGGGTTGTAATACTCTTTGACTCCGACACATACTGATAATTCCTGTTGAAGGCTCCTCCACCTCAACAACCAATGTACGGCGCTCTACCACCCCATCCAAGTGTCTCTCCGCAACCTCCAAACGGTGCCCCAATGTATAGTGGTCGCGCAGGTGGTGAGTACTAGTCACCTATAATACAAAAATAATACATTTCATAGACCTAACCCATGATCAGCGGCCCCTCCCGCACCTTCTCCCTACCCGAATTCCTACAACAATCAGCGCCCTTCCGGACATGGCGTGCCTCCCCCGCCACCAACGCAGCCTGTCCAGTTCGGCCATGGCGCTCCACAGGGATATAGTTTCCAATACTCGAATTGTACTGGAAAGCGGAAGGCCTTGTTGATCGGTATCAACTATTTTGGTCAACGCGGCCAACTACGAGGTTGCATTAACGATGTCAAAAATATGTCGACGTATCTGAACCAAAATTTTGGCTACGCAAGGGAGGACATGGTTATCCTTACCGATGACCAGCAAAATCCAATGAGTCAGCCAACTAAGGCAAACATCCTGCGAGCGATGCACTGGCTAGTGAAGGATGCTAGACCCAACGACTCCCTCTTCTTCCATTATTCAGGTATGTGTTTGCCCGATGTTATAGCGTCTGTCCTTTTTCAAGTCGCTAACTATGTATATAGGTCATGGTGGTCAAACGAAAGATCTTGACGGCGACGAAGATGATGGAAATGACGAGGTCATCTATCCTGTAGATTTTAGATCGGCTGGACATATTGTCGATGACGAAATGCATAGAATTATGGTCAAGTCGCTTCTTCCTGGTGTCCGTCTAACTGCAATCTTCGACTCGTGCCACTCCGGCTCGGCCCTCGATCTTCCATATATCTACTCTACCCAGGGCATTCTCAAGGAGCCCAATCTGGCCAAGGAGGCTGGTCAAGGTTTGCTCAGCGTTGTGTCTGCGTACGCGAGAGGAGATGTTTCAGGCATGCTTTCCACTGTTGGTGGATTAATCAAAAAGGCTACGAAAGGCGATGCAAGTCACCAGAAGGCACGACAAACGAAAACAAGCCCCGCCGATGTTATTATGTGGTCCGGAAGCAAGGATACCCAGACAAGCCAAGACGCCACAATTGGTGGAGAAGCTACTGGAGCTATGTCCTGGGCCTTTATTACCGCGTTGAAGAAGAACCCACAACAGAGCTACGTGCAACTCTTGAGGAGCATCCGTGATGAATTAGCGACGAAATATACCCAGAAACCCCAGTTAAGTTGCAGTCATCCGCTAAGTACGTTCTCATAATTTTTAACTCTCGATGACATCCGTAGGCTGTCTGCTAACCTATGGATTTGTAGATACCGATCTTCTATATGTCATGTAAACGGATATTTCATTCTTAACTTCCCCCCAACCGGTTCGAGGACACGCCTTGTATGAGCAAGCTCGCTAAGTGGTACGCGAATGAAATCTTGACAACAGTGATAAATACAAAACCCTGAGCTGACTCTACTGGAAACGACACTTGGGCTTTGCTTGCTTGATGAAAATTCGCCCTCTCGTCCGAGTATTTGGCCTGTTCGACACTTGTGTTTTGCGAAACTACTCTTCTCCTACCAAATATTCAGCTTCAACTGCATGCTTTACCACTGTACCTTCCTCCAATTGGATATGTCGCCGTTCTCTCTTATTCCCATCTTTTCCTAATGTCTCTAGTTGAAGTACCTTGACGATTTTCCTAGGCCTAAAGCATCTGTTGTTGTCTTTTTTTTTCGATTATCATTCCTAAACTGCCGTGAGTGGCGGACTTGAATACGGGGGGGAAGGAAAAACCTTGGTAATCACAGTACTCGATAGTCTATATGCCTGTTATCAGTCTATGTTTGCACGTCAATGTCTAGCTTATTATCATTTTTTCCTGAAGAGCTGTCATGGTATTGAAAGAATGGAATAGTTAAACACTTCTTTCTTCTTGCTCTCTCTTTGTAATGTGTTTTAACTCTTTAGTTATTGTTACTGATCTGGCTAGTTTGTGCTCTATCAGCTTGTCTTTCTACATCTACTTTTCCCATCTTTTTCAGAAATGATATTCTGATGTTCTTGTATTTACTCTCAATCTTTTTTTTTTTTTTTTTTTTTTTTTTTTTTTTTTTTTTTTTTTTTTTTTTTTTTTTTTTTTTTTTTTTGATGTTATTCTTTTCAAAGTTGCAGTACTTGAAAAAGATCTGTAAAGTGAATATAACTTCTCTTTTAAAAAATTAGTTCTGATTCTAGATAAATATCATGAATAATTGATTCATAATAAGAATGAGTGTTATGAAGAAATTGAATCAAAATCAAAGTTCAAAATCAATAATCAAAAATATTTCAATGATAAAGCAACTAGAATTCTCTTTAAGAATGAACATTTTATGTAGATATAGAATATTAATAAAGCTCTCTTTCTTTCACACATCATACTGTCTTCTCAAATCTCCTCTTCTTAATGTAATTATATGAGTGAATTCTCTATACTTATATATATTTTTTCTCACTCATTCTCTGAGTCTGATGCTTTCACAGTTTTACTTCTTCTGAAGTATTATTCTTATTACATTATTTCTCATCTACATAGTAAAGTGTATCTCAGTGAAGAGAAATCAAGCATATTAAAAATCAAAGAAAATAAATGATAAGAATAGTAAATAGTTGAGAATTTTTAAGTAGATAGATAAACAGAACTGAAAACATAAATTAAAAGACTATAAGAGATATATAAAGAAGAGTAAGAATAATAAAATCATTGAATCAATTTATTAATATTCACTCTGTCATGTCCGCGCTAAACTTCGTAGGTGGAACGTGCTAGGGTAAGTTTAAGCTTAAAAGTTAAGTAGAGGTTGGAGAGAGCATGGGCCAATCATAAGGCAGCAGAGATAACTGTGACGGACCCGGCGACAAAGATAAATACCAAGAAGAAGAAGAAGAAGAAGAAGAAGAAAAAGACAACAACGAGGGACGGATGTAAGGGCGGCCTGGGGCGTATTTCACTTCTTCCCATTGGTGGTAAGTCACGTGATGGGCGACAGTCCGGATGCGTTAAATGTTGGGGGTCCCGGGAGTTGATCGGCCCTTCTACCAGCAGTGCGCTGGTGGTGACTGAGCTCTTTTGCCCCAGTAGCCTACATTAAAGAATTATCATCATGTCAACAGACATCAACTACCCACCAGACTAACAGGACAGCAGACATTCCATTAATAGCACGCTATGCAATCAGATATAAAGCCATTCAATCATCCCGGAAGATGTTGGCTGGCTCATGTTTGACCTCTTTCGTCTGTACATCACTTACTCGTCAGACTCATTCCCCTTTGAGTGGCTGCAAAAGACAGAAGACCTCAAGCTGCATTGTATGGACAGCACCAGAGAGAAGATTACTTTTTCAACAACTCCAGAGCTTCTACAAGTCATCCACAAATGTGAGAGAGTTACTTGCACCAGAGAAAGCTCAGGGCCTCCCAAGTGACTGGGGTTTCTCTGGCTTCATTAAGACTGCCGCTCATCAGGTTCTTGATGAGATTCCTTTCATGAAGGCTGAAGAGTATGTATAATTATATCTTTGATACTTCTTTATTCACTTTTTCTTTCCTTCTCTTGACATTTTATCAGGTTTCATGGCCCACTTTTTCGCAGGCTGGGCATCGGCATCATAATCAATTCCCACCCCTGTATTAAGGGGGAACAGATCTTCCATCTTTGTCATAACCACTGGAGCTGCATAATTCGGGATCTCTCAAGCACATTCAACACAAAACCACAAGAAAATCATAGAGATTATCTTCTGAAAAGTGAACTACTGGCAGTCACCTCAATCTTTTACCATCAGATGAATGAGATGGAGTGGCTTTCTGAGGAGGGCCGGTATATGCCTAAGCTCATATACAAGGAAGGTTTCTTGATAGTATGTTCACCTCCTCTTGTCTTTGTACCTCCTTACCTGCAACCCATCGGAAATGTACCCAACACTCACCTTGACACTGAGGGCTATATACAACCTTAGCAAGGACAATTATGACAAGAAGGTAGCCTTTGATATTCTGAAATGGATTTTCTCTCCTTCTGATCCCGCCAGGGAGCTCGCTATGAGAGGAAAGCGGTAGTGGATTTAGTTAGCAGGCGTGAAATGTGAGAGGTAATATTTTCCGGAGCTTTGCTGGTACAAGACTGGGTGAATGCCTAGAGAGAGTTTGCGGCTTTGAGCGTTGTGCGACGGATTTGAATTTTGGCGGAGCGTACAACAGCAGTAACCAAATGTCATAGCAGCTTGGTAACTGGGTGGTAAATAAATGGAATAGTGTTGAATCATGGAGCGAATTTTGAAAAGGACTCTGAAGTTATATTAAACAGGGATATGAATAATGAAACAGGTGTTATATCCCAGCTTTTTTCATTGAACAACGCGATGAACGATTCTATTCAAAACCACACAGCCCGACTGATACACCAGCACTTCGAAAGTGACCTGCCGCACTCTCTTTTCTCGCACCGACAATATCAACACATTGAAGGAAAACACCAAAGCCCTGGCGAGGGTCCGCTTCATATAATGACCAGCTCTTCTTAATATAAGCCTTTAGCTCAGCAAAGAACTCCTCTATTAGGTTCAAATTGAGTGAGTAGGGTGGTAAATATAGTGATTTCACTCCTGCATCAAAGCACATCTAGCTGAGTGATTATTGATACGCTCACAACACAAGGAGCTCCAAAATGTTTACAGTTCCGTGCCATACAATTAGTAAGAGGTTGTGTAGCTAGATTACAATACACAACAACATTGTTGCTCCAAGATGAACAATTATTACGTGATAGATCTGCGAATAATACGGAGAACATAGGTAAATAACTAATAATTTTCTCAACGCCAAAACGAAAACTAGTCTGAGTAGTGACTGCTATTGGGATCTTAGCTTGTCGTGGCTCGGAGAATAACAACAGCTTGCTTGCCCTAACCCTCGACATCGTGGGATACTTCCTGGTCACATGGGCTGGTGATTTCAACCCATGCAGCTGAGAATTATTCTGCGCCTCAATCAGGATGCTGCCTTAGATATTTACATCAATTTCCGATACTGTTATTTAATCGCAGCCTCATCTCGAGGAAACCGTTTCCCTTGCCATCTACAACTTCTGACTTAATAAACGGGTGAACAGAACAACAAAGACGGACAGCTGCATCGGATATAATTTGATCAAACTATTCGCAGAAGAGTTGGGAATATATCGAATGGGCTTGAATACCCAGAGATGCGAGAATGAAGAGGGCAGTCGCATAACCAATCCGCCCTCAAAATGGAAGATTTCCCACCATCATACGAACTCGCTACAGCTAGGGATGTGTGGACTATAGTTGCTGACTACATCCCATCTGCGGACTTATGCGCCGCCTCACTCGTGTGTAGGAGATGGCATGATATATTCATCCCGTTCCTGTGGGGCGCGCCAGCATCTCATTTCGGAACTGATAACGACGCTGTATATGGTGTGTTTGCCTCTCTTCCATCCCATCACACTCAAACGCCATGGTAATTGAGCTCCCCACTGGGACGTTGGGCTTCTTGCTAACAATGATCGATCTACCAATGGTAAAGTGGCATTGACAAGATTCAGGCGGACGCTCAAACGGGCTCGCCTCGAGGTGCGTATGCTGACTCACACCTTCCACCTGCCACCCGCGCTGTCAGAGATATATGGCGGGCCGAGACGATCATGGCTTCAGGAGGTACTGGAATATCTACCGAATCTCCAATCGCTGCTCGTGTCCCAGCTGCCGTTCTTCGACCACAATTCGCTTATCGCATTGAGGCCAAAATCGAACAATGACAATTCCTGCGAAGCATATGGCCTCCGTCTGCTGATGGCACAGCAGGAACCGAATACTACATCTGTTGGCCTTAGGGAGGCTCTATTGCGATTCCCGCTGTTGGTTTACTTGGATTTGTCGTTCACGACGCCGGCAAAGGATCATGGGGTGTTATCGTCTATGTCATATTTGAAACATCTCCAAGTGGTGAAGCTGAGGGGTATTGGGCTTCGAGATGCGGATCTGGAAGTCGTGGCGGAGTCTATTCAAACGCGGGTTCGATTGTTGGACGTGCGAAATAACATGTTGACGGATGCCTCGTTAAGATCCCTCCTACAGAAATGCTTCTTACCACTGGATGCCGCCGAAGAGTCCTCTCCCATTGATAGAGCCGTTAAGTTCCATTTTGAGTGGGCCTGCACTATAAGCCCCTTTGCGAATATCTTGGGCGTAGATTCGTTGAGAAGCGAGAACTTTGATGCCCATCTCATGAAACAGTTAATGATACCCCTGACCGGCCGCTCTGACCCCCAGGATCTACCTCATGTTGGTATTACGCATCTTTACATTTCAGACAATCGACTGTCTGTTGAGGGGTTAGGCAGTTTGCTCAAATCGACGTGCCTTCATGTGCTAGATGGCGGGACCGTGAAGAGTGCTGGGTCGATGTGGAAGCGGAAGGGGTTTGAGCCGATAGCGGATAATGAGAGCCAGTGGGTGGTTGGCGTGAGATATCCAGGTGCTGAAAAACTTATACCAGCACTGCGCCATTCAGCAGCAGACAAGTTGACCTATCTACGAATTCACCATGCGGTGGTTACGGAAAATGCCTCCACGTCATCACGGGAAGTTTTTCCTGCTAGGAAAACACCTACAAGACGTCCCGTACCCCGGGCTGTTGCTGTGGAATTGGACGGCTCTTCGAGCCAAATTTACGAGCTGCCTGCTGCAAAGCCAGTTGTACGGCATGAACTCGCGGACACCTCATTCCAAAGACCGATCCCTGGATGGCGGCCTGGAATGCGTAGTGGCTCTGACGCACCATTGCTAACACCAAGCTTTGAAGTGCCAGGACTGGCCCCTCATGAACCTTCATCATCAACGCCATCGTCATCTTCCCAGCTTCGAACCGACTTCATCGAAGCGTTACTCAAAAAGCGACCTAAACTAAGCAACGGCACAGCCCCGTTCTTCCATCCCTCTCACACCCCACACCTCCGAACACTCGTCCTCACAGATGTACCCGCAACCGTTCAACCCTCATCTTCCCACATCATATCCCGCCTAACCCACTTCATCACAGCGTGTGCAGATGAAGCCTTCCTAGCCGGCCTACAGGCCCGTTCCAACTACTCCCTGCCCCCTGGCCGGTTACGTGCCAATGCAGAGCGACGGCATGCACGATCTCTTTTCTCCCTTGAACGCATTATCCTTGAGATAACGCCTGTCGCCAAACCCGATACCTCCATAGGCTCGACGTCCTGGAAGCGCAGCGGCGCGGGAATCTCTAAGTCTAGCACAGAGGATGTAGACTCGGAGAACCTGTGGGCGGCAGCGGAGAATGATTTTAGCTTCTTTAGCGGGGAGACCGAGGAGGAGTGTGGGGTTCTAGATGAAGAGATTAAGGTTAAGGATAACGATATGGACGGTGATATTGATGCTGAATCTATGCGTTCACTTCGGATCCCGGAGCTCGAAGCTTCTACCCCATCGTTATCCCATCGTGCCTCCGCAACATCTCTACGCAATACGCAGAGACTCGCTCACCGTCCCACACCCAAACCCACACCCACATCACAACCCCGCTCGTTATCTCCATTCCCCCCTCCAAATCAGACCCTAGTATCCACACCATCTCCCCCTCCTCCCTCGAACAACCAGCAGCAGCAGCAGCCGTCGACAGCCCCTGCCACGCCCACACAGGACGCAGACATTGATGTCGTCGCTGCTCTAGCCGCGTTCCGCAAGGCTAGAAAAGCAGAATACGAAGAAATGTTACTACGCGCCAAAAAGCAAGGGTCGAGCGGGAGTACTACGACTAATTCTACTCCTGTGTCCACTTCTACCATAACTCCGACGTTACCACGATCAACAATGTCATCGTCTTCATCGTCGTCGACGACTTCGTCAGGTGCATCACTCAATTATCCGCTGTACGTTGAGGGCTATTGGAAGGGGGAAGTGAAGATTGTGAGAAACCCGATGCCCAAGGGCCGGAGTGGTGGGTTTGTGGATATTTATGGGAATTATTTTGAGAGGGGGTATTTGTATCCTTGAGTTTCTAGGAATTATTACTTTTTTTTCCTTCCAACGTGTGCACGTACAGCTTGTGCGTGTTACGTATCAAAGGATCTTATGACATAATGATACTTTTTTTGCATATATTATAAGTCAAATCATTTTTATTTTCATTTCGCATTTTTTAGATATCTTCTCGCATCCCCAGAAGGCTCACTTCCTCCGCGGCGTATGATTATGCGCTCCGTGCTCATTTACCCATTTTTCCTTCTTCAAATCACGTTAGTAAAACAAAGTGTCATCGTTCGCCAAACGCGCAGAGAGAAAGAAAGGTATCAAATGAGTCCACTAAAACCGCACGGCTCGGGGACAAAAACACTTAAAAGGAGGAATAAGGGCGTTTATCGTTTCCCACATTCATGTCTCATTTCTTTTGTTTTCCTTCTTATTCTCCTTCTTCTCTTCATCCGCCTTTTCACGTCTTTGTTTTTTCCCCTTGGAGCCATGTTGATATATAAAAACCCAGTTTTTATTTGCCTGACACCGTTTAACAAGAGGGAAAAAAAATTAAAAAAATAGACAAAGCGGAAGAGAGAAAATATAAAAAAGGAAAGAAGTAAAAAGGTGAAAGATAAAAATTTGGCATGATAGTAGCAGCAGCGTCACCACACCCCATTATCCCAACCAGTTCTCCCGAACACACCTATCGACTAGACTCATATCTATACCTGAGCAGTCTTGGCGGCCTGGGTTGGGCTCATCTTCTTTCCATCTCTGTTGTACCGGATTCTTGGGGGGGGAGCCCGGTTGCGACGGCCCTCTCGGGAGCGGACACTAGAAAGCAGATTTAAATCAGTATATCAAACTGTTCCGCGTGTTCAATTTCCCTCTGATATCGCCCCATTATATCTATTCCTCGCGTGGCCTCTTCACCCTCTTTTTCCGTTTCCCTGGGAGCCTTGATATCTTTTTCTGACTTTATTGTGGTGTTTTCTGGAAGGAGAGAGGACGAGAAACGGAGAGAAAGGGCTTGGGAATTTGCTTGGATTGGGTTCGGCCATACCGCACAATCTTTCCGTGAATGGCGCAGGAAACGCAGTACTGGAGCTTCAAGTACATCTTGGGTACGGCGTAATCAGCGAAGACGGATGCGTCGGAGATATCACCTAATTATTCGCGAAAAACGGATGTTGGTATTAGCAATAATTTCTTCCATTTCCCTCCCTTTGCTCATCTGTAAATGGTGGAAGAACGTACGAATGGCGGCAGACTCGACCATGTTACGGATGGTGAATCTCTTGATGGCCTTGTCCTTGGGAGTGCATCGCGAGCAGTTGGAGCATCGGATTGGCTTGACGTGGCCGCGACCCTTCTTGTTACGTCCGCTGTTCCATTAAAAACAGGCCAATTGTCAGCCCATCTATTTCCGGAAACAAACTTGGGTTTTTCGCCCCTTCCCCATAATTGATATCTCATAAATTTCTCAACTAATTTCCAATTCCTGTATTTTGCTCCGCGTAAAGAAGGGGGATATTTGAGGGTTCCTCAATGCACATACTTCGACGCCCGTTTCTTGACCATTTTGGCGGATTCTGTATATTCGTTCGACGTTAGGGAAAGAGTGCAATAGCAGCGACAACGCCTACACACAGGGGGCCCGGGGGAAGAGAGAAGCGTACTGGTTGAAGTCGGCGGGATGAGGTGGTTGAAAAAGCGCTGTCCTGGCCCTGGCTCCGCGATGTTGGTCTTGTTTGTGGGCAAGAGGGCTAGCGGGTTAACTAAGCGAACCGGGCTTAGCTAAGCAGCATTCCCGTGATCCACCGACCCCGTGACCAGTGCCTGGCCGTTGCAGTTCTCCCAAACTTTATGTTGGTTCGTTCTGTGGTCAGGAACACAGCATCAACAACAATATCCGGCGTCGAAAACTCCCCTTTTTGCTCTCCCAGTTTTCCCGGATATCCCTCTCTGACATCCATCCCTCGCCCCCAACAAGGCTGCGTGGCGGATCGACCATTCTCTCACTAGTGTTTATTTTATCTACATTAATTACGCCTAGTTCTAATTTCATTGTGTTATATCGCCGAACATGTCTGCTGCAGGGGGAGGAACTTTTAGGAATCGGACTGTGGGCCGTGGCCAGATTCCCTTCGATGGCAACCCGTCTGGTATTCCTCGCAAGGTTGACCAGGGACCCCCACCCGCTGCTGCTCCGTCTGATATTGGAAGCAGCTCTGCCTTGAGTACCAGCAGGCAAAAGCAGTCAAAGCGTGATGAGGTAAAAATATATACATCTCTTCCTTAGTTCCTCCGACGTTCAATTGGTTGGATAACTACTCTTCTCTTCTCTTGCTGTTATATAGGACTAAGTATACATGTTTCAATGGCTAGGCTATTAGAAAAAAAATGGAGGCGGACCTCAATAAGAAGAGGCATGGAAACCCTGCTCGTTCTCGCCATAGCCGCAAACCCCCCCCGGGAACTGTCATGGCTCTCAAACCCAGCCAGGCTCTCCAGATCAAACCCAACACCACGGTTGCAGAGGCTGCCCAATTGATGGCTGCGAAGAGAGAAGATTGCGTTCTTGTGACGGATGATGACGACCGTATTGCTGGTATATTCACTGCAAAGGATTTGGCGTTTAGAGTTGTCGGTGCTGGCATTAGGGCTCGGGATGTTACAATTGCAGAAATCATGACGAAGAATCCTCTCTGCGCGAGAACCGACACCAGTGCTACCGATGCCCTGGACCTCATGGTCCGGAAGGGGTTCAGACATCTTCCTGTTATGGATGAGAACCAGGATATATCTGGAATCCTTGACATTACCAAGTGTTTCTACGATGCGATGGAGAAGCTGGAGAGGGCGTATAGCTCATCTCGCAAATTGTATGATGCTCTCGAAGGTGTACAGTCCGAACTGGGCTCCAATCAGCCACAGCAAATTATCCAGTACGTGGAGGCTTTGCGTCAGAAAATGTCTGGCCCGACCTTGGAGTCTGTTTTGAATGGATTGCCACCCACCACTGTATCAGTACGCACGTCTGTTCGGGAGGCCGCTGCATTGATGAAGGAGAATCACACTACCGCTTTGCTGGTCCAGGATCAGGGTTCGATTACTGGGATTTTTACCAGCAAAGACGTTGTTCTCCGTGTTATCGCCCCTGGATTAGATCCCAATACCTGTAGCGTTGTTAGGGTTATGACACCTCACCCTGATTTTGCTCCCACCGATATGAGCATTCAAGCTGCCCTCCGGAAGATGCACGGTTAGTTCTGAGACCTCTTTCAAGTTAATATCGGAGGTATAATAAATCTCACTGACAATGATGTAATAGATGGACACTATCTTAACCTACCTGTTATGAACGAAGCTGGAGAGATTGTTGGCATGGTCGATGTGCTGAAGTTGACCTACGCTACTCTCGAGCAGGTACGCTTCTTCCTTCTGTTTCAGACTCTTTTTCATCGATTCTTACTCACGCTTTTACCATTGTTCTAGGTTAATACTATGTCAACGAACGAAAGTGAAGGGCCTGCGTGGAATAAGTTCTGGCTTTCTATGGACAATGAGTCTGATTCCATGGTGTCTGGCAGCCATCAACCCCACACTTCTCACCGTTCCGTTATGAGTCCCGATATGTCAAGATCTCACGGTGATCGTGAGAACAGTGTTCTTCCGAACGAATCAGCTTCGCACCACGGCGACGAGGCTGTCTCTGATATTTTAGGGGCCAGATCAGTCCATAATGTGGACACTCCCTTTCCGTTCAAATTCAAAGCCCCCAGCGGCCGAGTACATAGACTTCACGTTACCCCTTCTGCAGGTGTAGCAGATCTTGTCTCCCAAGTTTCTTTGAAACTGGGAGCCGAAGTTGAAGCTGTTGGCGGGCAAGCTGCTGTTGAAGATGGCAAAATGAGCCACACAGGCTATGCGCTGAGTTATTTGGACAGCGAGGGTGATACAGTCTCTATCACAACTGACCAAGATCTATTTGATGCCATCACTCTGGCCCGGAGAGCCAGCCAAGACAAAGTGGATCTTTTTGTACACGATCCCGAGAAGCAGCCCATCATCACGCCTCCTCCTGCCCCTGAACCCCAGCCGCCAGTTGCGAAATCTGCCACCCCCGCCGGGTCTGTTCTGAGATCTACAACGGGAGAAGATGACGAGCCGAGCATTTCAGAGCGTGAAAAGCCGCAGACTCTTGTCCGGCCACCAACTGCGGAGCAGCAGTTGATAAACGGGGTGCCCAATGAACTTATCCTCCCTGGAGCCATTGTGACGTTGGCTGTTGCTATTGTTGGTGTTTTCATTCTCAGCCGGGCGGGTAATCGGTAGTTATTGTGCCACTCCATCTCCCTAAAAACGGGAAAAAAAAATTTCCAATTCAAGAAATAAAATAATTCAACTTGGGCATTGATTGGTAGATGGAACACATATCTCGCGCGTTTAAAGAAGATATTCGGGCAATGTCCGCGTTTTTTTTTTTTTTTTTTTTTTTTTTTTTTTCTTTGTCTCGTCTCTCCCTAACTTTCTTATGATATGTACCCATTATTGTATTCTTTGCTATCTATCTTGCCACTTTCGATAATATCCCCTACGCCTACATACATAGCATTGCATGTACCACTGCTCCGCCATCTAAAGATATCACGGCCAATATTCCAACTATTAGCGAGTCCCAAGTGGGTTAAGTTTGTTTCCCTTTTTTGACCTTTTCTGATTTTAATTTCTAATATATTTATTGCATTTTTATCTTTCTTCTCCTCTCTTGTTTCTATGACTACCTATTAGAACAATCCAAAAGACAAAGTTTGCAATACAAGACAACATGATCCCAAGATTATTTTCAGGAACTAAGTCCCTGTCCTGCTGGTTTTGACTGTTCGGGACTAGTGCGGGCTGCCCATCTACGCTAACCGGATCTACCCTAGCGCGCATCTTCTCTCAACCACATCCCACCTGCACCAAAAAAGCTGCCTTCCACCTCCTCTCGTTCGCGTCTGTTCTGCTCTTCGTCTCCTCTCTTCTCTCTCGCTGTATACCTTTTCTCCTCCTTTCTCTCTCCCCCACGATACAGCGTGTCTGCCGTTGCGTCTATGCGCTGCTCGTCGCTGAGCTTGTCGCGTCCAATCCCAGCCAGCCTGTGCATGCCCCCACAAACGAAAACAAATTCGTGTCTGCTTCGGCCGTTGGTTGTACTTAGAAACCCCCCACCACCACCAACAACCACCGTCTTAACGTCCAACTTTTATAATTGAAACAAGTCTCCAACGCACAAACCGAATACGTCTGATATACCGGAAATTCAATCTAATTGGGTTCCCCCTTTCCTACTCGTTCCTTTCCTTTCTCTAAGATATTTTTTGGCGCGCGCGTATCCGGCTACACATTTCCTTGTCTTTTCGTTGAAATTTAAAAAGAAGCAAGTTTCCCGATACTCCTCAGATAGCGCCTAGGGACGATACAAATACAACTACAAAAACGAGAACGAGAACCATCAGTAACACCTATACCAACACCCCAACAGTGAGGAGCAACAATGTCGTTGTTGCCGCAGGAGGTCCACGTTGCGCTCTCGCAGCTCTTGCTTGCCTTAGCATCCGCCGACAATATAGTGCGGACGCAGGCTGAGGAACAGTTGAATAATGAATGGGTGCAGGGCCGTCCTGATGTCTTGCTCATAGGGCTGGCGGAACAATTAAATGGGGCGGAGGATGCCAGTGTACGTATTTGGAAGGATGTCGTTTTTCTTTTTCGCTGTGTTTTGTTAACATATATCTTGCTTACCTCTTTTCGTTTGTATATAGACACGATCATTTGCTGCTGTCCTGTTCCGTCGGATATCGACACGGTCAACGAGGCTCCCCAATTCTACTGAATCGAAGGAGTTGTTCTTCACGCTTTCGCAAGAGCAAAGAGTGGCCATTCGGCAAAAACTGCTAGAGTCGCTGGGGAATGAGAGTTTAGCCCACGTGCGGAATAAAATTGGCGACGCCGTGGCTGAAATTGCGGGTCAATATGCCGACCATGGTATGTCTTTGCTAACCCGCACCGAATGCAAATTACCTGAGCCTAGCGCCCAATCATTAATTTATTTATTGGGGATCTTTTAGGGGAGCAATGGCCCGAACTCCTTGGAGTGCTTTTCCAGGCTAGTCAGTCTACTGATCCTGGTGTGCGAGATTCCGCGTTCCGGATATTTTCGACGACACCGGGTATTATTGAAAAACAACATGAGGATATGGTTGTGGATGTTTTCTCGAAAGGTTTTAGGGATGAGAATATTTCTGTATGCACCTTACATGAAAAGAACGAAGCGATGCGCCTTGTTTTTACTGATGATCCGGAACTACGAACTAATATAGGTTCGGATATCTGCAATGGAAGCGTTTTCCTCATTCTTCCGTTCCATCACAAGGAAGAGCCAAACAAAATTCTTCTCCTTAGTCCCCGATGTTCTCAATATATTGCCTCCCCTCAAAGAGGCCGATGAGAGCGATAACCTGTCCAAGGCATTCATTGCGTTAATTGAGCTCGCGGAAGTGTGTCCCAAGATGTTCAAGGCGCTCTTCAACAACCTTGTAAAGTTTAGCATCAGTGTTATTGGCGATAAAGAACTGTCTGATCAAGTGAGACAGAATGCGCTTGAGTTGATGGCTACATTTGCCGATTATTCCCCTAAGATGTGCAAGAATGATCCGACGTACGCCGGGGAAATGGTTACCCAATGTCTGAGTTTGATGACCGATGTTGGCTTGGATGACGAGGATGCTGCTGAATGGACTCAGTCAGAAGATGTAAGCACTGAACCCAATTTCTAAGGGCAGTGGCGGCTTATTGATAATGTTGCTAACGCTTCTATCCCTGCAGCTTGATCTCGAGGAAAGTGACAAAAACCACGTTGCTGGTGAGCAATGCATGGACCGCCTAGCCAATCAACTCGGCGGCCAGGTAATTCTACCCGCAACTTTCGTCTGGGTTCCTCGCATGATGTCATCAACTGCCTGGCGCGATCGGCATGCGGCGCTTATGGCGATTTCCGCTATATCCGAAGGTTGCAGGGACCTCATGGAGGGCGAACTGGACCAGGTTCTCGCACTTGTCGTGCCAGCGCTCCAAGACCCACACCCGCGAGTCCGCTTTGCTGGGTGCAATGCCCTTGGCCAGATGAGCACCGATTTCGCACCAACCATGCAGGAAAAGTACCATTCCATCGTCCTCGGAAGTATTATTCCCGTTCTGGATTCGACTGAACCCCGCGTCCAGTCCCATGCCGCTGCTGCGCTAGTTAACTTCTGCGAGGAGGCGGAGAAGGAGATTCTTGAACCTTATCTTGAAGAGCTCCTGAGACGCCTGCTACAGCTACTGCGAAGCCCAAAGCGATATGTTCAGGAACAGGCGCTTTCTACCATCGCTACAGTTGCTGATTCTGCGGAGACTGCATTTGGACAGTTCTATGATACTCTTATGCCGTTGTTGTTTAACGTTCTGAATGAGGAGCAATCCAAGGAATTCCGAATTTTGCGTGCGAAGGCTATGGAATGCGCCACTTTGATTGCACTGGCAGTTGGAAAGGAGAAGATGGGCCGGGATGCGTTGACTTTGGTACAGCTTCTTGGCAATATCCAACAGAGCATTACGGATGCGGACGATCCTCAATCGTCGTATCTTCTCCACTGCTGGGGTCGCATGTGTCGAGTCCTCAAGCAAGATTTCGCTCCATATCTTCCCGGTGTCATGCCGCCACTTCTCCTAGTTGCTGGTGCCAAAGCGGACGTCCAGATTCTCGATGATGAAGAGCAGCTTAGACAGGTTGAGCAAGACGTAGGGTGGGAGCTCGTTCCGTTGAAGGACAAAATTATTGGAATTCGAACAAGCGCACTCGAAGATAAAAACACTGCTATTGAGCTGATTACGATTTACGCGCAAGTTCTTGCTGCTGCCTTCGAGCCTTATGTTGTTGAGACCCTGGAGAAGATTGCTATTCCAGGGCTGGCGTTTTTCTTCCACGACCCGGTCCGGGTCTCGTCTGCTAGCTTAATCCCTCAGTTGCTAAATTCTTACAAGACAGCACACGGGGATCAGTCTCCTGAATTCTTGCAAATGTGGTCCAAGACTGTCGAAAAGCTTATTGAGGTTCTAAGCGCAGAGCCTGCCATTGATACACTGGCGGAAATGTTCCAATGCTTCTACGAATCAGTTGAAGTTGCCGGGAAAAATAGCCTAACCCCTGCTCACATGCAAGCATTCGTCACGTCTGCAAAGTCATCGCTTGTAGACTATCAGGAACGAGTAAAGCGACGTTTGGAAGAAAAAGCAGAACTCGAGGATGGGGATGATGATACCTACTCCTATGAAATCGAAGTCGAAGAGGACCAGAACCTTCTTAGCGACATGAACAAAGCCTTCCACATCATCTTCAAGAACCATGGCCCTGCCTTCCTACCAGCTTGGGGTCAACTGCTCTCTTTCTATGATTCCTTCATCGCAAGCCAGGACTCCACGCAGCGTCAATGGGGTATTTGTATTATGGACGACGTGCTTGAATTCTGCGGTGAGCAATCGTGGAATTACAAAGATCATATCCTGCAGCCACTCATTAACGGCATGCGGGATGACAATGCCGCGAACCGGCAAGCAGCATGTTATGGTGTTGGCATGGCTGCGCAGAAGGGCGGGCTAGCGTGGAGCGAGTTTGTGGCCGCGAGCATCCCGACGCTCTTCCAGGCGACGCAGCACGCCAAGGCCAGGACTCAGGAGCATATCTTCGCGACGGAGAATGCGTCAGCTAGTATTGCGAAGATTTTACATTACAATTCTAGTAAGGTGCAGAATCCGCAGGAGGTTGTGGAGAATTGGTTTAATACTTTGCCCATTGTCAACGATGAGGAAGCGGCGCCGTATGTCTATTCGTTCCTCGCGCAGCTTATTGACCAGTATGTATCCCTTCCCCTTCCCAACCTCGACCCCTTTTTTTTATCTTTAAGTTCAGGCGCAATTTGTGCTAGAGCTGACCCAAAAATTCTCAAATAGACAAAATCCCACAGTGTTCAACAATGCTGCGAAGGCATTCACGTTCATCGTACAGGCACTTGAAGCAGAGACGCTGCAAGGCGGTACAGCCGCTCGTGTGGCGAGCTCGGCGAAACAACTGGCGACAGCAACGGGCATAAATGTAGAGCCGATATTTGCAAATGTTAACCCAAAATACCAGATGGCCGTCCGAAGTTTTTTTCAATAAAACCACTGTGGACCGGGTAGTTAGGACTTTAGTGGTCTCGCTTCTGAATTTTTTTTTTCTTTTCCCCCCGTTTTGGTTCCTTTTGTCTCTTTTCCCGTTCATATTCATCTTCGTCATTACCCCATCTGCCGTTTATATCATTCCTGTGGTCGATTGCTTTTCTCCCGGCTCTTCCCTCCCCCCAGTTTTTCGTCTTTTTCATTTAAACTACCGGATTTCTACTGCTTGCCCCTATGTTTACCAGATCATGCATGTCCCGACTTACCTCAAGGTTCCTTTCCCTCTTAGGATCCCAGAGTCGTATTTTCCTTCGTAACTTCTTGTCTTTTCCCAGATAACCAATACCTCCCAATCCCAGCAGTCGTCCAAACAAATGTCTATTTTTCTTCTCCCTTTCTTCTATTCATCCTGAATTTTGAAATGTCACCACAACCACAACAACCAACGACGAACACTGCTAGAAAAACGAAATGTTACATTTTTAATACATAGAGATTATGGAATGCTCTCTCCTCTACCTGACGTGTGCGTTCCTTGAATTTCTAAGGAGCAGGGAAATCGAGAAGATTGTATACATAATCACTCTAGAACTTGGGCCTTTATCAATCAACCCTTCATTCCCACGCCTCCCCCCTTTCTATGAGACCGGATCCCTCCGAGTGCGACGTGTTACCATTTTTTCACATGGACGTTTACATACATCATTCAAATGTTCCCGATTACAAGTCACCTTCATAAGAAGACAACGGGGTAACTCCACAGTCATAATTTCAGGGTTTTCTTTATTTGCCTACTCTAGTTTTGCTGCTTTGATGGTATGAGATATGCGGGGGAAATAAGTAAAATAAACGAATTTTATCCAGACAGACATACTCTACCATACCTGGCCAGGCAAAGTGAGTCTGGAGAAAAGTATTGAAGTAAAATTAAATATATCGCTGATGCCGCCCGAGTATGTACTGTGATTAATCTTTGCCTTTAATGAAAATCTTTTTGTCTACTCCGTGTCTCAAGCCTAAAGGAAGTAGAAGACAAACGAGAAAAGGAGACATAAAGGACGACGAAAGGAAATACAGGTTGGTAAATGACGAATGAAACGCAAGAGCAAAGTATCTAAATGACAAATAGAATCTAGGAAACAGCAAAAATCGTAGAAGATGGATTAGAAATCCAAGGGAGAAATTCCACTCATCTATATAGAAAAACACCCTAGTAGCAATTTTATTTTTTATTTTTTTAACAAACCCCGTTGGAAACACACCCGGTGTCTCAACCTGCCTATTTATTAGCTTTCTTCGCCAATAAATTCAACGCGCTTCCCGCAAGGATAAATCCACACTGATCCTTGCTCAACGTATGTTTCATCGGAATCTCAAAAACCTCTCCACTCCCCTTCTTCGTCACCCGCAATCTCACCTCCTGACCCCCCTGCCCACCGCTGGTCAGTACCTCATACAAGCCAACCGTATCAACCGTATCACACGCATCAATCCGGTCATAATCCGCCTTGTCCCTAAACGTCAACGGTACGACGCCCTGTTTCTTCAAGTTCGTCTCGTGGATGCGCGCGAAGCTCTTGGCGGCAATTATGCGTCCGCCTAGATAGCGCGGTTGTAGCGCGGCGTGTTCGCGCGCACTGCCCTCGCCGTAGTTGTCTTCGGCGACAACGAGCCATTCCGTGCCGGCCTCTTTCCATTTGGAGGCGAGGTCTGGGATGGAGTAGGTGCTACCATCGATGTCGTAGGCGACGTTCGTCTCGCCTGTTGCAGCGTTTATGGCGCCGATGAGGGTGTTGGCGGAGATGTTCGGGAGGTGGCCTTTGTATTTGAGCCAGGGGCCGGCGGCAGAGATGGTGTCTGTTGTGCATTGACCCTTGACTTTGTAGAGGACGCGAAGGGAAGTGAGGTTGTGGGGGGGGAAAGGTGAGAAGGGTTCGAGGACTGCGAGGCGGTCTGAGGTTGGGGAGATTACGACGGGGCAGGAAGGGGATGGGGCGGCCATGCTTGGTTGGAAGTCTGGGTTTCCTGATTCGAAGCCGGATTTGGGGAGGTCGAAGCCTGTCGGGGGACGGAACTTGAAGGGTTTGCCGCTTGGGGTTGGGAGAGTGTCCGTCATGGGGTTGAATGTGGTGCTGCCCGCATATGACATGGCAGTGACAATTTCGGGAGAAGCGAGGAAATTCATGGTTGCGGGGTTTCCATCGTTTCGTCCGCGGAAATTGCGGTTGTATGAGGTCAGGATCGCGTTGCTCTCGCCTTTCTTGACCCCATCAGTCCGCTTCCATTGACCGATACACGGTCCGCAGGCGTTAGCTAGGACGGTTCCCCCGGCAGCAGAGAAAGTTGCCAATGTCTGATCGCGGTCTAGGGTAGCTCGAATTTGCTCACTTCCCGGCGTGATGAAGAAATCTGCTTTTGGCTTTAGGCCGGCCTCGGAAGCTTGTTTGACAAGATCTTCCGCACGAGTCATGTCTTCATAAGAACTGTTGGTGCAGCTCCCAATAAGACCAGCGCCGAAAGTTTCAGGCCACTTCTTTTCGCGAACGGTCTGTGCAAATGATGACAGAGGGATTGAAAGATCTGGAGTAAAGGGTCCATTAATATGTGGCTCGAGGGTTGAAAGATCAATTGTAATATGTTGATCATATTCTGCGTTGATGTCTGCGCGCAGGAGGTTCTGAGGACCCGATGACGCAATAGCCGCTGCGGCATCTGCAATATCGCCTCGATTGGTGGCTCGCAGGTACGGTACCATGCTAGGTGAGAAAGGGAAAAGTGATGTAGTTGCTCCAACTTCAGCGCCCATGTTGCAGATAGTAGCCATTCCGGTACAGCTAAGCGATTCGACACCAGGGCCATAGTACTCGATTATATACCCAGTGCCGCCACGAACAGTCAATTTCCCAGCAAGGTGCAGAATGATATCCTTCGGCGCCGTCCAGCCAGACAGTTTGCCTTCAAGCTTAACCCCAAGCACCTTTGGCGCCTTTAATTCCCAAGGGGCATCCACAAGCGCATCAACGGCATCCGCACCACCAACGCCAATAGCAATGGCGCCCAAACCACCGCCGTTAGGCGTATGGCTATCTGTACCCAGCATCACAAGGCCCGGAGCAGCATAGTTCTCCAAAACGGTCTGATGAATAATGCCCGCACCGGGAGGCCAAAATTCAATACCATATTTCTTCGCAGCGGACTCCAGGAAATCAAAAACCTCTTTATTCCCCTTAATCGACGCTGGGAGATCCACATCAGCTCCCTTTTCCCCCACAATCATGTGATCGCAATGTATGCTCGCAGGGACTGCGGTCGAGGGGAGTCCACACGTCATGAATTGAAGCAGTGCCATTTGCGCCGATGCATCCTGCATGGCGACACGATCGGGCTTCAGCTTCAGATTGGCCTGGCCGCGGATATTCTTCCCATTCTGGGTATCGGAGAGGAGTGACTCTTCCACATTATCGAGATGGGAATACAGGATCTTCTCAGCGAGGGTGAGAGAGCGCTCGGTTCCTAAGACCCGTCGTACTTCGCGGAGATTGTTTAGAATCTTGGGATATGGAGGGAAACGGGAGGAATTGCTATTTGCGCTGTTTTGAGGGTCTGCCTCTGTTGCAAGCCCGCGGCTTCGGATTCGGGCTCCGAGTGGTAGGCATTGTGCAAGCTGATTTATTGTTAGTTAAACGCCGGGATACATACTAAATTAAATGGTATGGTTACTAACCTTTCGCGAAGCAACTGCCCTTTGGCAGAAATACTGCCGCATCATTTTGGAGATATCCGCAGCTATTGCCAGAAAGAAGTTGAAAATGTCTCCATTCGATGTTGGCGGAAAGAGTAAGTTTTTGGGGTAATCTTTTCAGGAGAATGCTGATTGGCTGACTGCGGCTGACTAAGGCCGATTTCGGGTCTAATTTTGTGGGGAATAACATCGGAAGGTGGCTGTCACTCAATTAATAGATACATAGCATTCGATAGCTGGTAGACAGAGATTATGATACAACTCCCATTGTACAAGGTTGAGAAAGTTAAATTGTACCATCAACAAACCTCAGTAGAGAGATCGTCCCAAAAAAGCCAAAGAAAAGCTGAACGCGAGCCTGATATGAAGAAGGAAAGAAAGACGGGTATGAAATATCATAGGAAAGGTGGAAAAAAGATCATTATTTAAATGCCAACCAAAGAAACCGTTCATAAATTAATGCTATCTTCTCATTTGCTGTCTCTACTCTCTTCCGTGTCTGCCCTAAGCTCGTAGCAGAGATCATAACATTGTGCAAGAAGTTCGTTGACACTCCCTTGACCTTCGGGTAAGTCATTCCCAACATAAAACTTACCATCAACTCTCATATTATCGATGGAGTTGAGCTGAAGGGCGTGTTAGCACCGTGTGCATGCCTAAAGCCAGAAAATATATAATAGCAGCTAATAATAGCAAATGGGTAGTAGACTGACCTTCATACTATATGGATAGAGTTCCCTGGAATTGGAAACCCCGCCCGACTCCTTAACTTCAATTAAGCATTTCCTCAATGTCTGAAGTTGGTTATATATTGGTAGGAGCGCTTCCGAGACAGGCTCAGACGAGATAAGCAAACCGTATATTATGGCATAGCTCCTTCGAATCAGATAAAGAAGTGTCTGCGCGGAAAATCAGTACCCGAAAGTTCACTCAAACTTCTAAACCGGGAGAGCAATATAACCATACCCTTTGAGCGTGAATATCGGCCGGTTTCCCATCGCTATCCAAGAAATTCCCATCAACCCGGGATTCGTCAATATTGTTAAGCTTTCTCTGATACATAAATAAATCTGTTTCTCTTAGCGACCAAGCCTGGGTCATGACAAGGCGATCTAGCTGGTTGCGAATCTCCAGAAGTTTGATATATGGGTCTTTGAACCGTTCGTCGATTTGGCCATGCCTAGAAAAGTAAACAAAGGGGATTCAGTAAGCCTGAATCCACCAATTCAGGGCAATTGCGAGGCGTTACCTTTCGAGCACAATTTCCGACCATTTCCAACATCTATCTAACAAAGCTTTAACGATTTCTTGGCCTTCAGGGATCGAGCCATCAGGTCCCACAAAATTACCGCCTTTCATTGAATCCTGTATAGCTTTGAGTTGCTCTCGGAAGCTCGCGACCTCAGAGGCAGAAAACTACGAAACCACAGTGGAAATTAGCCTAGTGTACGAACCTGGGAAGTAAAAAAAAACTAGACACTACCTTTGACCTTGTATTTGCAGCCGATGTAGAACGTAAAATGGAGACGAGTGTCTCATGAGTCGGGGCGAGCTCGGGCGACAAGAACGAAAGCTCATGCTGCAGTTCAGCTAATTGTTTCCGACATGTTTCTAAACGAACCTCCAAAAGCTTCAATATATCCGGTGAACATGTCTCTTTTCCTCTATTAATGTTCTCCTGCATGGTATCCAAGGTTTTCGAGACCGAATCCAAGTCCTTCTGGCTATAAAATGCCGCTTCCCTTAGATGGTCGAGGAGGCGCTACATTACATCAGTTAGAACGATTATGGAACGGGTACACCCATTTTTAATTACCTTAATTGTTGAAGCCATGGCATATCTATTGAATCAGATATATGTTAGTAATTGCCTGTTGTAACCGGACTGGGAATAAACCGGAAAGAAAAGAGCAGGTATGTATATAGATAAGAATTTTAAACTTACGCTGCGGGGGCTTCATTGTTCCTCCCAACGGTAAGAAATAGCAACGAAATCAGCTGGAAACAATCGTCAAGCACATTATCAACTGCGGCATGAGGACTGGAGTTAGATGAATAAACTGGCCGTAAGTCCTGAGAAGGGATGTTCGATTGCGGGGTGGACGAACCTCGACTATGCTCTACTGTATGTTCCGTTCGGATGGCGTTCAGCCTCTGGACTTGTTCGACGACCTGGTCATGATAGTGGAGCACATCTTGGGACTTGATGTACCTCGATTTATCTTGTTTGAGGAGCAAGAGGGCGTCTCGAATTACAAGGAGCTGGTCTAGGATAGGTTGTTCTTGAGGATCTAGAGGGATGGATACGGCGGGGGAGTCGGCCATATTTCGAGAGATTGGCCCACTTTCATACGCGGTTAAATTGGAGCTGCGGCTAGCCCGGAAACAGGAAGGGATAAATTTAGGCCAAACACAAGTAAACTGGAGGTTGTATGTAGATGGTGTAAGTGTTGTAGATGTTCCGATAGGTCTCTAACAAGTGTTTCCCGATCGGGGTGGAAGATAAATTCCCCACGTGACCCCGCTGCAAGCACGGGCCATCCCAGCCAAGGTTAAGCGAGGGTTTTATTTTCCACACAATTTTGGACACCAACGAACCGACGACGACGAGCTGCTTCCGATCTGTCATCTCTTTTCTCTTTCTCCCTCCCCGTCAACCCAACGCCTGCATCGCATCACATCATATCCTTTGCCGCCGGATACCCTCTCTCACAATGTCTACCGCCGAGCTCGCTGTTTCCTACGCCGCCTTGATCCTGGCCGATGATGGCGTTGATGTCACGGTATGTTTAGACCCGTACATTCGAAAATGTGATATTTTGGAAGAAAGGGGAAGCCTGCAGCTGCAAAGCGACGTGGAATATGGAATATGTTTACGAAAAGGAAATGGTTGCTGACACATTTTGATTTCTCGGGGGGATTTGTATAGTCTGACAAGCTCCAATCAATCCTGAAGGCCGCCAATGTCCAAGATATTGAACCAATCTGGTCTTCTCTGTTCGCCAAGGTACATACATATCACGCGTTGCGCCTATCCGTGCCGTCTCTTTTCATCAAATCGCGATATCTGTTGCAATTGGATCTATAAATTAGGAAAATTGGGACTGTTAAAGAGCAAAGTTGAGGCTGACTTGAAGATTTTTTTGAACACTAAAGGCTCTTGAGGGGAAGGATGTAAAGGACCTCCTGCTCAACGTCGGATCAGGCGGTGGTGCCGCTGCCGCCACTGGCGGAGCTGCCCCTGTCGCTGCTGAGGCCGGTACTGCTGAGGAGAAGAAGGAGGAGAAGGAAGAAGGTACGGCTCATTCAATATTGTCCCCGCCACATATCGCGAATAGAGGCAGCTCTGACTAATGTATGGCTTACAATTTGCAGAGAAGGAAGAGTCCGACGAGGACATGGGCTTCGGTCTTTTCGACTAAACGAATTTTCTTCTTTTCTTTTTTTCCTTTACGTTTTGGTTCCGTCCCTCCTCATCCACCTACCTCCTATTGGCGTGTACTCATATTTGCGAGAGGAAAATTACAAAAGAGAAATGGGGTGCACAGCTACGGCGCTTTTACGGACAGACCACCCCCCCAATTGGCGAAGTTCATATATAACCATGGAATTTCATGTTGGGGACTGGACCAGAGAATCGGGTAGCAATTGGTTGAATTTTCTTTTTTTTTTTTTTTTTTTTTTAGTATATCAATATGATGTGCTTCCAAGGATGCTTCTAATGTCATATGGTTTATGGTCATGATTGTCGTATTCCGTCAATAAGAAAAATCAAATAAGAAATGTGAGATGTGACATGCATCTTTCGATATCGTGGTTCCCGCCGAAGTTTTTTGGTTCCTGTCCCGGTTTTGCTTTTAATAAGAGACTAGGCAAAGAAAAAAGAAAGAAATGGGAGAAAAAAAAGGAGAATGCCACCCAAGTAATTAAAAGAGATACAGTGGAAGGATTCTGAAGGAAAGTGTGTTTTTTTTTTAGAAAGAAATGAGAGCGAGAGGATGGGGATGGGGAGCTTATATCACAGCCGAAGAGGATGAATCTGCACGCTGGACTGCGTATATCCGGAACTGTGCAAAGATCACGGCATCTTCAACCATCGTCCCAAGGGAGCCAATGAGCCACGGGAGATTCTTAAGAAAGTAACCCTTTTCGGTGGAATGAAACAATATCTAGGCATTTTGTTAGTAGATGGTTCCTCAGCGGTGTAGGTAAATATTCTACAGCCAATAGAATTGGGAACTTACCCCTGCGCCATATGACAAATTGCCCATAAGAGAAAATATGAAAAACAGTAAAGAAAGCCCTATGAAAAACCGGTCAGCCCGTCCACTCCACATAAATATAAACGACAGCAGACTTCCTTGACAAACATACCTTCACATGATTTCTCACGGTAGTTTTTGAGGATCTGTGGTATTCGCGCCCTGTTCGGTTCATCCCAAACTCCATTAGCTATTGAAACCGAGTTGAGAGTTAACATTCAGGGGCTATAAACTTACCCTAGATAACAAACTGCACTCAGATACCCAAATACCTGCGCCCCAACCGCCATATTCCCCGGTTGCTCCCTAGTCGTCGGTTGCCAAACACCAGACTGCCAAGCAATCGCCCATCCAGCGGCACCTGCAGCACAGATCCCAAAGACACTCAAACTGTTCTTCACCCACGCGTTTCTGGGCTCCGTTTCCTCTAGAATCTTCGTCAACGAATCCTGCACATGGTGCTGTGAGTGTCGTCTCCGTGACGCCGACGACGGTCTCCTCCGCGCTGCTGAAGAAGCAGATGCGGAAATACCTAGATTCTCACTCATCCGGCGTGAAAGGAGCGGCGTGGTGGGATCAGGGGCATCGGACTCTGCGTCAGAATCGTCGACTGCCGTCCCGCCGGACAAGGTACGGCGATGGTCATTGCCGTACTTTCGTTTACGGGCAGCGGAAGCAGCTTCCAGACGGGCGTTCTTTATGTTGTAGTAGATGCATTGGCAAATGAGGATGCCGTCTGCGAGACAGAAGTAGACGGCAATGGCGATGATGACGGGGACAAGCTGCGCCCAGAGGGAGCCGATTAAGTTTGCAATGTCGCCTATGAACCAGACGAGGATGAAAGCGACGGAAACGGCGTCGGCGGAGCCTTGTTTGTAGTTTTCAATTAGTTGAGGGACCTATGTTGGGCTGTTAGCTATTTGTATTTCTTATCTGGGTTGGTATCATTTGCTCTTTTCAACGTTCATGTATGTACGTACCAGGAGGAAGATCCAACAGGCAAGAGAAATTGAGCCTAGAACTCCTGAAGCAGCTTCCCGTGGTGTCAACGGGACGGAATCAACCTGTCCCGACATGGCTAGGATGTACATATCGCAGGTCTATATGGTGAAATGTAGTGGATGACACTGACAACGCTCGGAAAGTGAAGTTTATATAGGGGGCCCGAATAGGACGGGGGGTTCAATATGAACAATCGCACGGATCCATCAGGTTCGCTCGGCTATTTCGTGTTGAGGGGGGAATACCGAGAGTGAAACATCTGACCTTTGTTTAATGTTGGAGGGGTTGTAAAAAGAATCAAAAAGTTGCAAGCATCATGAAAAGGAAAAAAGCGAAAATATCCTGCACGGCTAAAATTAGTAGATGACGCAGGGATAGCCTCACGTGATGGATGTGCGGTTCTAGAAGGAACAAAGAAAGAAAATGGAAGAAAGAAAGTGAAAAAAAAGCATCAATTCTACAAGTTAGCAGCAGTTAGCTACGGTTTTATCAACCTGGCTGAATTGATGTCTCAATTCTCTAATTGGATGTAAGTTCAGCCACTCAATTGAACTCTCTACAAGTCCATGAATGATTAGCCTCCTTGTTTAGACTAGGTTGTGGAGATGAAAATACAAGAATATCTCTCAATTATCTTTCCTATCTATCCTTGCTACGCAGATTCCCTGCTTCCCCTAGCTGAAACGTTGTTATTGCTTTTTCCCTCTAGCGGACTGTGGCTTGCTCTGCTGCGGGAAGAATTTCCAGAATTTGAACCTCCAAGTTAGGGCTACTCTCATCACATGACATGAAACATAAGTTACTAACCGTGCCAAGCGCACTCACTCTCTCTAGTGAGTGCGCCCCAGCGTACCGTAATATCACCGCAACCGTAAAGGTACCTTTTGTATGAGTTCACCATACAAAAGGTACTTATAGAAAAACATGAATATCTTCAACATTATGTGTGAGAGAGGTTGAACGTGGTTGATTGTTATTGTTATCTTCTAACTAACTAGCAGCTAGTGAAAGCTTTATCTCAGTATACTCAGTCTAGACTGACCGTGTAACCGTGTCTGAAACTAGAATCAGAATATTTGATAATCTTATTATTAATTTAACTGATCTCATTACACTGTTTTAACATTAAATAGTAGTCTTATACTGTCTCAGTGAGACTTACTGTCTACTCTTATCACATTTTTTAAATAAGATTATAATTTTCACTTCTCAATTTAAATTATTTTTATTGCTTTAAATAACTTTAAATCTTATTTAAGTGTTATCAAAAAGTGTTACTTTTTAAAAAATTAAAAATAGTTTAAAAAAAACCTTAAAATGTCTAAAAATAGTAACTTTATACTAAGAATGAAACTAAATAAAATTAAATGAAATCACTTTCTTATTTTTTCTAAGTGATAATCTCATTTTAAGATCTGATATATAGTTACTTTATGTGTTTTTTTAATGATTAGTCTTAGTAAGATTTATACTAAGAAATGTATAAGATTAGATTAAATAAAATTAAATATGAAATTTATAGTCTCAGTAGTCAGTCTAACTTAGTCTCTCTTCTTAATATTTTTAAATTAATGTAACTAATTAAACTTCTTTAAACTTCTGTTAAGTTCTACTAACTTTTGAACTAATAAGAGACTTTATATATACTTACAATCTAATATCTTATAGAGAGTCTGAGAAGAAATAGTTTTATTGTATATAAAAAATTAACTTCACTTATGTAAAATATTTAATTAACTTCAGAATTATATATCTACTCTAAATATCTATTTAATTATTATTAAATTAATATTTTTTAAATTCTCAGTTATTTTACTATTATCTCTACTATTTTACAACTCACTACTTCTTCTCATTATATCACAGTTATTAATAAAAGACAGCATGTCTTTTCAATCTCAAGATACTTAATATCAGACATACTTTAGTTAATATTCTTTATCACTTAAAGATGAATTCTCTTTATAATTACTACAGTCTCTCAATAATATAGATGATGAATATAACATATCAGATAGTAACTTAACAGAGTTTAAATCTATTAATACTTCTTCAGAATTTAAGATTACTGATACTGATATTAATACTTTATAAGCTTATTCATAATTGAATTGCTGTGACTTACAGTATCTGTTTACAATATCTTATAACTGATAGAAAAGATAATTAAAATTATCTTATATTATCAGAATATTACAGTAAAACAGTTAAGAAATAAAGATTTTTATAGAGACTTAAATTCAGAGTTCTGATATCTTAACTTATTAATAATACAGTACTTCTACAAAGTGATGAAATATACTATATTCAGCACTTTTCAAAGCAGGAATATTTAATAATAATTAATATTATACTGTCTTACTTAAATAGAAGCTGAAATATCTTATTAATACTCTCTTCTTTATAAAATTCAATCACAATTCTGATCTGAATATCATTAACTTTCAGACTGCTTTGCCCCAGTGGCTGAATGATTAATGCGGCCACCCGGTAGCACCTTGGCGTGGGAAATCAAGGCGCGTGGGTTTGAAACCCGCAGGGAATACATTAAATCCGGAACTCAAGCATCTCAGGTTTCTAATAAATACAGAGGTGTACAAATCACTTTAATGAATCACTCTATGTTTCTGAGCTGGGAAGTTATTATTGCATGTATCTAATTGTCACTTCTTTGTATTTTCTTATGTTCTTGTTATCTTAGCATGGTCTCAACACCTGTATTTCCTTCTGTATAACTAACACTTGACCTGTATTTAACATCACATAAGAACTCATCATAAGCTCCGCTTGCATATGAATATAATGAAAGAATAAGAATAATAATAATAATAATAATCAGACTGCTTTTATAATTATTCAGATTAATATATTAATCTGATTTAATCTACTTACTTCTATGCTAAAAAATAAATATATCAATTGAAAGAGCTATGAATAAGACTCAGATAAAATAACAGCTATTAAATAACTGTTTATTATTATAAATATTATATATTACTCTTATTTCTTAAAAAACTCAAACTTCTTTAGCTCTATTCTCTCTGTATATTTTTATAACTTAAGAGTAAAATAATAAGTAATAGAAATCATTTCTGACTTTAAACTCTGTTATAGCTATGTAATGAGAAATAGATTGATAATGAAAATTACTAAATAAGAGAAGATATAACTTAATATTCTTAACTTATTAATATTTCTATCTAATATCTTAAACTTCTAGTAATCTCTAATAATATCTGTCATTTTCTGATATATTCTTTGAACTTCTATCAACTTCTGAGTCAATTACTTGACTAATTCTTACTGTTAGATTAAACTTCAGCAGCTTATCAAGAATTCTCAAGTTATTATAGTCTATAATAATATGAACTTCAAGAAGACTGTATAAGATAAGATAATCAGATATAATAATTTTATAACTGCTATAACTACTACTGCTGTAATTATTTTCTCTAAGATTTCAGAATTTAATCTAACTCAGATTATACATAATTTTATAAGACTGCTAACACTGTAAGAAATCATTGATATATCTAATATAATAGACAATGATAATAAGCTTCAGAAGTAAATAACATTATATCTTATTTCAGATACTATTCAAAAGATTTATAATAATAAGATTAAAAGTGTTTTCAGTACTTGTAAGAGGCCTACGCCGAATAGATCAGTATGATATTGATAGGTCTTATATAATAAAGAGAAAAATATTAGAGAAGAAAAGAAAGAGAAAGTATGAAAATTAACAATTGAAGTGAATATTTATACATGTACACAGTGATGTATGTGATAGAACTTTGAAATAAAAGAATAGAGGTTTTCATACACAGTAAAGCTTCAGAGTCAAAGAATAGAAATTCTGTAGATTTTTAACTGAGAATCAGTGACTGAGAATCAGAGTAATAGAAATCTGTAAAGTGTAACAGAATAGTCTATATAATTAATTGAGTATAGTTTGTCATATTAGCTCTCTCTTTCTTTCTTAATTATACATAGTTCTCATCAGTCAAGAGCTGTGATCTCAGATAACACAGAACTCAGAGTTCAGATCAGATAATTATAACTGACTCATTTTATAAAATATTATTAACTGCAGCTATGAGATTTCTTATCAAGAATATCTTCAATCTCTTATTCAAGTTTATTATCTTCTTTCATAATCTCTGACAGCTGTCAGTCAGAAGTCAGTTAAGAAGAGAATGAATTACTGATAATATAGCAGAGTAAGCTTGTATAAAAGATATTATAAATCTCTGATAATATATTAAGATAATAGTTGTAACTGTCTAGAACTTTCATCATCTTATACTTTATATAATAGTAATTCAGTGTGTGAGATGAATGTGTGATCTGTATATTCTTAAGATTCAATCATATCAGATCTTCTATTTTATATTACTTAATAAGATCTTGATAAATATTAA